ATGAGAAGACAGAATGTCACAGCATGACAAAGACGCGTAGGGACTGTGAGGAGGGGGTGTGAGTGTTACTCAGCAGATTGCAGGGGCTGATTTAATGGTGGAATGACATTTTCCCACATGCTCCGCATCCCCTGCCTGCAGGAGTCACCCTCAGCTGGAAATTCTCTGTCACTCTAATCAATAACCCGACGTCTAGGCTGGCTGCCCCCCCATATCACTGTGATATACTGTGTGTATGTGTGTGTAACCTGTATGTGTATAGCGCGGAAAATCAAGTGCCACTGTTAGCAGCTGCTCCAGCGTGCGGTGCTAATATGGCATGCTTCTCATCTCCAGATGCCTAGCTGAGCTCTCCATGATAGATGATAGCAGGTCGCATGCGTGTGTCGGCATGTGTGTAAATGGATAAATAAAGACAGAGCGAGCCAACTCCTGTGAAGGTCACTGATCTGCCAAAGGGCCAGCACGCTGAAAGCCACTGGTCACTGGTGTTTAAACGAACAACAGGCGTCTTTGCTGTGTTTGTTTGCTAAACATTCAAATGTGAAGGTTTAGCTGTACTATGAAGGAAGGGTTTGTTTATGGGTGTGTTGAATCTCACTCTGTGCTTACTTTAATTAAAAAGCATGGGTAAACTACACTTAGTTGAGATGTATAGATTTTTCTCTCTTGCAAAACTAACAGGATGAAACCACACTCTTCAATCACCCTTGTCTTTTCGTTAATAATTTTATTCACTGTCTCTAGATTTTCTCGTCTTCGGAGCCTCAATCTCTCCAACAACCACCTTGGCCAGTTCCCCCTGGCTATCTGTGACATACCCACTCTGACAGAGGTCAACCTCAGCTGTAACTACTTGGCCTCTGTCCCCAGCTCTGTGGGTGCCATGACCAAGTAAGTAAAAAGAAGAACATACTGAGAACACAGAAGTTTTTTTGTTTTGTTTTTTTTACCAAAACTTTGAAAACCAAGGGTAGTCATGACTGTAAAATCAAAATATTTTATAGAGTCAGAACATGAATATATCTGAGTTTTAGTTCAGAAGGATTTTTTTACTTTTGCTTTTGCTTTTTGTGTTTACCTTGCTTGTTAACTATATGCACAGCAGTGCATTAAGTCCTTGGGAATTGCCCAACTCTGTTCTGTACAGAACCGAAGCTTCTGACTTGGGGCAAAGCTTACTTACATAGATGCCATTTGAGTTTGACTAATGAACCTTTTCGTAGACCAACCACATTTTTGCCTCTTTAAGCATTTACATAGTCAAATCTTAAAGTTACCTGGCAACGGTCACGTGACATGGCAACCACAATGATATATACATTCCTACTTCCAACATATAAGAAAACACCATAAGCTGTACATGTGATTCTGTGGTTTTTGCTGTAGTTCTCGAGTGTTCCCAGAGTCTTTTACTATATTATTGAGCAGATTTGTCATTATGAATGCCGTTTTGTCCGTGTCTTGTTTTGGTGAACACCTTAAGTTTTTTTTAAAAAATTCCAAGCTACTTACGTTTCTAAGAAATACTTTTTTTGGCTGTACAAAATTTCATAATTCTGAGCCAGCATTTTGAAGAGGATGGAACATAGGTAATGTTGTTAGCTCAATGGCACTTTTTTCTCCTTTTCTTTCCTTTACTAGTCATTCCCTGTAGAAAAAAAAAACATTACTGGCTCTTTAAAGCAGTGACAAAACATATACTTAAAAAATAAAGTCAGGACTTTGACCTTTAAAATCCTTGCACGTTTGGTCGATTTTACTCCACTTTGAATTTAGGGATTACAGGAATCAGTCTAGTAACTAGGGCAGAACTTGCAGTCTGGGTAATAATAGAGGTCCTTTAACTCAGCCTTTCTTCAAAACCTACAGGTATGTTTGCGCATAAGAAATTAATCTCTGGAAATTATCTAGCATACCTGTAAATTCCTGAAGTGGCCAGTAGTGCATTTATGCAGCTACTGCCATCTACTGGGCATCAAGTTCACTGAGTTTTGGAAATGGCAATTGTTTTTTTTAGTCCTGCTTGATACAACATGTCACAACAAGCACGCTAACTATATATAGACATACAATTGTGGTCTTTCTGTGTGATCTGTGTGATTTTTCATTAATTATGCCAACTGTCTAATCACATGTATTTGTCTCAGTTTGCAGACATTCCTACTGGATGGAAACAGCTTAAATGAACTGCCCAATGAGCTGGGTTCCTTGCAGAGGCTGAGTTACTTGGGCCTTTCCTTCAATCAGTTCAACCACGTGCCCCAGGTGCTGGAGCGGCTGTCCTCCATGGAGAAGCTCTGCATGGCTGGCAACCACCTAGAGACTCTTACCCTGCAGAATTTCAGACTGCTCCATGTCAAACACATCGACCTAAGGTATGACATGGTGTCCTAATTATTACCCATTTATTCACTATGAAGACGAGAACAGCATGTCCTAAGAGTTTGTCCCAGGGTTACATGTGACACTGAGAACATGCACACGCTCGTAAATACTAGAAAACAAAAATAAAAGGAGGAAGCCAAAACACAAGCAGATTGCCAGACAGCACAAAACGGGGAAATCATTTGCCTACCGCGTCTCCCGTTGTCTGAAAAAGTGCAGAGCTGGTGTGACTTGCACTATTTTACAGTTAATACTTTACTTTTTCTTACTTTTCTTGGCCGGGGTTTGTAAATTAGTTGTTTTCTGTCCAGCATTAACACATTTTTGGACAAAGATCACTCGGTGTCACTGATGAGCTTACATTTCACACAACATTGTGAAACTCTGCTTTCTTAACAAAGAAGTGCAGTTATGAATGATTTGATGTTCTGAAAGGAATTTCTGTTTAATAAATTTAAAAAGCTCCTTTCGGTGGATTTGAAGTTGTTCTTAAGGATGGAAAAAATTGTAAACTTTTTAATCCAGCTAAACTGAGCAGAGCCAGTTCTGGACCAAAGTCACATATTTATGCCTCTTTTATCTCTTATTCATTCTTGGGTTCTTATCGATTGAGCGCAATTCAAGATAAACTGTTAACACTCAGGACCAGACTACTAAACAAACTGATGAAACTGCACAATATATCAGCAGTCACCCCAGGCATGTTCCCTGCTGTAAAGGCCAAAGCCTGTGCACTTGGATGAACCTTTACCTCCTTCATGCCTCCTCTTGTCAGGTTGAATAAAATCTCCATCATGGTGCCGGACGAGCCTGACCTACTGAGGCACGTGACCCAGCTGGACGTGAGGGATAACAGGCTGACGGAGCTGGACGCCTCGGTCTTCCCCAGGCTGGAGGTGCTTCACTGCGAAAGGAACCACATCACCAGCCTGAAGGCTAAGGGCTGCTTGCTCAAAGGCATCTACGCCTCCAACAATGGTGAGTTTGGCTTTAATGTGACCTCACACATTTCTAAACTGAAATCACTGATTTGTATCTTTCTTTTCTGAATTTTAACACATAATATATGTGTGTGTATGTGTGGATATGTAACACCTCACAGACATCACCATGTTTTTATATATATTACTTCCATGTCCGTCTGCATACACCCTTAATCCTCATCAGTGCAGCAGTCGCACATCATTCCTCTCTAACATGTCATCACCATCCTCCCCTGCCTAATGCTTCCCCCATTTTCCATTTACCTGCATTTATAATAGACCTTTGTAGGAGACCTTGTCTGTCCTTGCTGTAAGTTAATGTGTTTGGATTTCTCCCTACAGAGCTCCGACTGCTAGATGTCAGCCCTGTGCCCTCCAATCTGAGTTACATGGATATCTCGAGGTGAGAGAAATTCCAGAAATGTACATGAATTTAAAAAATTAATAAATAAAACAGAAGTATTTGGAAGTTCCTTCTGAAAGTAAATGCATCTTATTTACAGTACATCTGCCCTACAAGAGCGGAAGGGCAGCAGTTGTTCAGTGTGATGCTTTAAAGATTGTGCAACTACACGAAATTAGGAAATACACGGTCTCTGCAAGTGGAGTGAAATATAAACTTAGAGAGGTCATTTTTAACCATGCTAACCCTGACCTACTGTAGCTGTAGTCAATAAAATGCACGAACTAATCACTGCACTTTAAAATACCTTTAAATCAAAATGCTAGTCTTAAAGAATTTACCCATAAGTCACACAGAGCTTACTTCTATTCACTTTGTCTTTAACTTCTTAAAAGGGCATTGTCCATGAGACTGTCACACTTAAAAAAGATCACATCTTTTAAAAGTTGTATTTATCTTTTTTTAAATCTTTTGTTTAGCTGTTTATCTTTTGGTAAACTGAATCTGAAAGATAGTAAAATGTAAACAAACAAACCAAAGCTGAAGTTTAATATATGGAGCGTTGCAGACTGCTAGGATTCATCATCATCGTCTCTCCTTCTCTTCCCTCAGGAACCATATGGAGTCCTTGCCAGACTGGCTATGTGAAGCTAAGAAACTGGAAGTCCTGGACGCGAGCCACAACCTCATTGCTGAGCTACCGGCACGGTGAGTGTCTCACACAGCAAAACCTGTAAATGCTGTACAATGCTGCATTATTCCCCCTGCCCTTTGCTGGCCTGTCATTTATCCCCCAAAAGGCCTCATAAATCACACAGATAGCCTATAACCTCCGCAGCATCCATCCATTCTCTTCTCCTTTATGTACCCTTTTAGAAGGTCAGTTGAGTTGCACCTCTTCGTCTTTTCTATGTCTTACATCAGCTGTGTCAAACTTGCTCCACTCCTTTTCTTTTTCTTCCTCTCTCTCTCTACCTCTGCCCCCCTCATTGTCTGTAGATTTATTTTTTACCCAATAAGTGTCAGGATGATGAATTTCAGCCGCGGGCTCCACTAGAGGCACTGCTATTTTTTGATATATTTTTTTTCTCCCATTCTTATCCATACTGTCATCATCCTTCTGCACTATTGTCATTTTTAATACTGTTTCAGGCTTCCCCGGTTACAGTCGTTCAAGACCCGGTGTGGAAAAAAGTGTCACCTTATCTATTTACCAACCAGTCTATCGATCTATCGTTATCTATATAGCCATCTAGCTATCACTGTGTAACACTTTTTTTTACACGTTTTTACGAGGGCCTTCCTGACTGTTTTTAATCTTCTAGCAGTGACCTAACCATCTATATGTTCTTCTTGCTGCAGGTTGTTATGCAGCAACAGTCTGAGGAAGCTCAGTGCTGGACATAACCAGCTGCAGAAGCTGCCTGAAAGAGTTGAGCGCCCTCTGCTGGAGGTTTTGGATGTACAGCACAATCAACTGGTTGAGTTGCCCTGCAACCTGTTCCTCAAATCTGACAGGTAGCATTTATTATCAGCTGAAACTGATTTTTCTTTGACTAATGTTCACCTGACAAGAAGATTAAATGTAGGGACAGTGCAGGTAAATGAAGATAAAGCACAGAAATTCTAATTAGGAGTTTCCTGTGAAGGACAAGACCACCAAGGGCAAGGATGACAGGCAAATAAAAAACAATCAGTCTGTAGAAGGACATGTTTTTTACAGTGAAGTATTAAGTAAGAATTTATGGAGTAGTTTGCAATTAAAATGAATCATCTCAGTGTTGTCTGTCCCTCTCTGAAGGAGATTTTTTTTCTCCTTTCAGCTTACGATGCGTAAATGCATCAGCTAATAAGCTGGAGCACCTGCCACCATCCAGTCTGTCAGAGGAAAGCCACAGCATCCTGCAGGAATTCTACCTGACCAATAACCGACTGACAGACAAGTGTGTACCCATGCTAACAGGCCATACACACCTACGAGTTTTGCACATGGCCTACAACCATCTCCAGACCTTCCCGGCCAGGTAAAAAAGTCATATGTTAAAGGGGACTTATTCCTTTCCTTAATCTCTGTCATATATACTATATGCACAAAAGCAATGTGACACCTACCTACACACAAACTGCTCACCCATATATGCCCATGCTATAGTGATGCCTGTGCACAGTTTTTGGGCTGATGCTAATGCCAGAGGAAGTTGGGGACTCTGCAGTCATTGAGTCAGCACAACATTTTTAAAGATTTTTATGCACCCCAATCCACAACTTTGCATGCTCTTAGTTGCTGTTGTTCCTAAACACTTGCACTTTGCAATAACACCACTTACAGTCGAGTAAGTATCTGGTAGTGATATAGGAACAAAGAAATTTCACCAACTGACTTGTTGCAATTAAACATCCTATTGCAGTGCCTTGCTTGAATTCAGTGAGCTCTTTAGAACGACCCATTCTCAAAGAAATTTTCTGTCAAGTCAGACTGCATGATTTACGTCCTTGATTTTGTACACCTGTTGCAATGGAACCGAAAACACCTGAATTCAGAGATTAAGACGTGTGGCTTAATGTTTTCACATGTACCATTTCTGCTCTGGGATCAGTATGATGTCACTAACTTAACATATGCAACATGAAGGTCAGATGACTGCCACAACCAGGATCATTATGCCATTTCTACTGGGTTTTTTTTTTTGTCTTTTGACTAAGCAATTGATTGTTTCATTACTATTTTACACACTTGACTTCACCTACTGCTCTCTCTGATCTTTCAGTAAAATGGCTAAGCTGGAGGAGCTGGAGGAGGTGGACCTGAGTGGCAACATGCTGAAAACTGTCCCCACCACCATTATGAACTGCCGGCGAATGCACACACTCATAGCCCACTCTAATGCCATTGAAGTCTTTCCTGAAGTCATGCAGCTGATGGAGATGAAAGTAAGTCAGGGGCAATAATGCATATCTTCGATGTCCTGTGCAATGCATGTGCATTTGTGCGAGTATTGACATCTGCCCTTTGTTGTTGTCAGTGTGTGGACCTGAGCTGTAATGAGCTGAGTGAGATCACTCTACCAGAGAATCTACCCCCAAAGCTCCAGGAGCTGGACCTCACTGGAAACCCTCGCCTAAACCTGGACCACAAGACCCTCGAGCAGCTAAAGTATGTCTGGGGTTTTTTTTGGTTTTTTAGTCCTGCAGTTGTTTTTTTGTTTTATATGCGCCATCATAGCCTCATCATAGCTTCAATTTGTACTTTGCATAGAGGGAATCTGAGTTACCACATGATGTATGTTTAGTATTTTATTTCACGTATGGCTGTTAGAAATACTTCAAGTGGTTTTCGTTTCTTTTTGCCCCCGAAACAGTGCGGTGAATTTGACCTTGTTTGCGTTTCCTTATTTTTCAGCAATATTCGCTGCTTCCGTATCGATCCACCTCCGACCTTTTCATCGAGTGAGGCATCTGGCGGGCCTGCTGTGTGGAGTCATGGTTACACAGAGGCCTCGGGCGTCAAGAACAAGTAAGCACAATTCAATCAATGATGAAATGACAACCAGCACCACCACAGACGCCCATTGAAGCCGCACTAATCGCAACCTCTTGAGAGTGCACATCGTTAAAGCCGTGCGACTCAAATGAAGGAAATGTTAATGCGGTGCTCGTTGAAAGCAAGAACTGTGTACATTCACATCCTGTGTGGACTAAATTGCTAATTCAGCATTTGAAAGTGCGTTCTGATGGCAAGTCTTCTATATCAAGGTTCTGCTTTACAGTCAAAGGAGTCATTTAAGGCATTGCTTATGCATAGCATATGGAGTGACATGATAAATAGTTGCACAGGGGAGTTGTGGTCCTCAGAGCTCTCATTCTTTCCTCTTTCAGACTCTGTGTTGCTGCCCTTTCGGTAAACAGCTTCTGTGGGAGTCGTGAAGCTCTGTATGGTGTGTTTGATGGAGACAGGAATGTGGAAGTGCCCTACCTCCTGCAGTGCACAATGAATGATGTGCTGGCGGAAGAAATTCACAAGACGAAGAGCGAAGAGGACTATATGACCAACACCTTCCTTGTCATGCAAAGGTTTGCAATAGATTCTACATGCCTCATCTTCACTGTATGTAACAAATTTCTCATTTCTGCCTCAAAAACCTAATCCTCTTCCCGTCTTTCCTTCTTCCACCCTTGCAGGAAGCTTGGAACTGCAGGACAGAAACTGGGTGGCTCGGCAGCTCTGTGTCACATTCGCCATGACCCCACTGACCCTGGTGGCTGCTTCACCCTCACAGCTGCTAATGTGGGAAAGTGCCAGGCCATTCTGTGCCGTGATGGAAAGCCGTTGTCTCTGTCACTCCTTCACAATGTAGGGCTGGAGGAGGAATACCGCAGGATCAGGCAGCACAAAGCTATCATCACTGAGGTAGAGATCTTTTCTTTTTTTTTTTCAGAGTACTGAAAAATTGGTGTAAAGTACATTCATGTAAATGCAGTATTACTTGCATCCTGCCTGAACACTGTATTGATTTGTATCTCTTTCTTTTTTTTCTTTTCTCCACAGGACAACAAAGTGAACGGTGTAACTGATTCTACACGAATCATGGGCTACTCCTTCCTCTACCCTTCTGTCATCCCTTGTCCCTATGTGCAGACAGTCACTCTAACCCCTCAGGATGAGTTCTTCATTCTCGGTAGCCGTGGCCTGTGGGATGCTGTGTCCCCCACAGAGGCTGTGGAGGCTGTTCGGAATGTCCCCGATGGCCTGGCTGCTGCTAAAAAGCTTTGCACATTGGCGCAGGGCTACGGCTGCACCGACAGCCTCAGCGCCGTCGTTGTGCAGCTCAATGTGAGTGAAGACTGCTGTTCCTGCTGTTGTTCTGACCCTCCCCAGCCACCTCCCAGTCCAGGCTTGGGACCTTATCCTCCATCATCCTCTGCCATCAAGGAGAGACCCTCAGACGGCTCCCTCCCTGTTCCCCCCTCCTCCTGCAGTGAAATTAGCAGTGAGATTAGCACCAGCGAGATGAGCAGTGAGGTGGGCTCTACCGCCTCATCTGACGAGCCTCCACAGAGCTCCTTGGTCCTACTGCAAGAGCAGTCCCACCACCCTCACCTTCACTTGCACCATCAGGCCCACTTGCTGCCTCTACAGCACCAGCAGGCTCACACAAGTACCCAGCCCTGCCACTATCTTTTCCCGGGTTCAGAGCTGCCTTCATCCCGAAGCTGCTGTGCCCTCCACCCTGCCTGCTTAGCACACTCCTTTCAGAGGCAGCTCTCTAGTGCCACTTTCTCCAGCGCCCTTTCTGACAACGGGCTGGACAGCGAGGATGAAGAGCCCATCGCTGGGGTTTTCTCTAACGGTAGCCGTGTGGAAGTAGAGGCAGATGTTCACTGCCTGAAAGCACAGTCCTGCTTGTCCTCATCACCCAAAACACCGGTACCCTCATCCTCCAGTCAGGAACGCAACCTGCTCACACTTCCCCCACCTCCTCCACCACCGTGCACCCCAGAGCCCCTAGAGGAGGGGCTTGACATGAGCCAAGGGGAGGCTGAGAACGGGCTTGAAAGGGATGAGTCATGGCCGGGAGCTGGAGTGGGATGTGGGGATGGAGGGAAGCTAGCAGGCAAGAGAAGGGTTAATGGGTCCGTGGCACAGCAGGAAAAGAGCCACAACCTTATTGAGGTGGCTGCTGATGCTCCCTCCAAGAAGTCCGGGGGTTACTTCACAGCTCCAGCCCAACCTGACCCAGACGACCAGTTCATCATCCCACCCGAGCTGGAGGAAGAGGTGAAGGAAATCATGAAGCAGCATCAGCAGAAACAGCAGAAGCCTGCTGGGACAGATCAACCCACAGACTACTATGACACCCCTCTCTGAACAGCAGTACCAACTTTGGCCCTTATCTTCTTTACATGAACTAAACTGGTCTGATTTTCCTACACATGGACACAAACAAATGAGATTCGGCGAGAGGCTGTAAAATGCACACTGAAAAGTTTCATCGAGCTTTTTCTGTGTAGTCTCTCTTCTCCACGCAGCCCTGTCATTGGAGAGAAATGCACTGTAACCCGCTCCAGTTATAGAATAAAACAAGCAAATGAGCCCTTTAATGATACTCAATCCTCTTGAAAAGCCTATGGACGCAGCTCCAAGTGTCCATGGTCGTGCCCTTCTCACAGACTGTGGAACATTTATTTTTTACATTAGACAACCAGCTGAGTATGTAATCAACACTAGTCTCTTTGCTATAGCATTAGCTTGCCACAACACTTGTTAATATAAATAACAATTCAATGGTTTGTTTGTTTGTTTTTTAAAGAACTTACCATATCTTTTAATGTGAAGGCAGTGAAGTTTCTGGAAGAACTTTTTAAAAGCAGAGACACATAATCTTTTTATTATCAGTGAACTATGTTGAATGGTACACCAATAATACCACATCTAACTGTTGTAGATAGGGCACTTACAATACTGTATTTCTTCAGTAAATCATGGCTCTTGGCCTGTAAAATGGCATAGAAATTTTTTTGTAGAAATTTTCAATACTAACTCCTAGGAGTTGCATACTCTTTATGGTGACTCAGTCACTTTTACTAATCTTCTCTGAGAGAAATGGTGATTTTTTTTTTCTCCAATGATTGTAAATAAGAGAAATGTTGTATACTGAGGCTTTTAAAGGAACTGTATGTCGGTGAAGGTTTTAGTGGCGGGGAGGACGCGTTTGTTTGCAGTTATGGAGGTGTCACCCTCCCTTTCCCCTTTATCTTACAGTGTAAGCCCACACACACACACACACACAGACACACAAATGTAAATGTGCAGTAGCAGGTCAGAAAACCCAACATTCCATGCAGTATAACTACACTAAGTGGCTCTGGTTTGCTCCACTCCAATTGTGATGTCCTGTAGTCATCACTGCATCTACTGAACACTAATCGACCGATCTTTGCATGCACACACACACACCCATGCAGACATGACATGCATACAAGCACATATACACAGACACTTGGTTAATATTAGTCCCACCTCCCTCCTACAGTAACTGTTATCACCGGCATGACTGTGTCAAGTTCAGTAATACAAACAAATATATCCACATGGAAAAGAAACAACACAAATGTTCCTGTCTTTGGTATAATAAATTTTAAATTTGTGAATATACCTCATGTTGTCTAGGACTGTTTTTTAACAAATGAATTCATACATAAAATCAGATTATCATGATTTTTTTATTAATTTTTTTGATACACTAATAATGATGCATCGCTCTGCTGTGTTTCCACTGAATGACCAGTAAGGGGCAGTCTAATGTAATATTTTGATCCAGTACAGAATACAAAAGTGTTATTTCTATATCATCAAAAGCCTTGTTTTTTACAGTATTTAGCAGGGAAACAAATATTTTAAACATTTTCAACTATTTTACTCAATTTTTTTTGTTGTTTTTGCTGTGTTCTTCTGTTCACCAAGTTGTCATTGTGAAGTTCAGGGTCTGCCTCTTGAAGTCTCTAACTAGCATGTGAGTTCAGGATGACGGCATTATTATTATTATTCATGCGTTTTTTATACTTTTTCTTCACGCAGATGACACTGACTACTGTAACTACCAACATTACTCCCAGTACAGATAGAGAAGAGGCAAGTGCAAGGGTGGTTTTGTCACTGTTGGACCCTCTGTGCTGACATCTGTCCCCGTAGTACCACCAGTTGTCACCCACGTCACACCTGGACACCAGAGGAAAAGGATGAACATGAGAGACAGAAAACATACTTGAAGGTTTACCCAGTATTCACCACGTAGCTGATCGTGATGGTGGAAATTAGAGAAGGCTAAAGGTACAACTGAAACATTTGTGTGTTATTTGTATTTTAAATGTTGAATACCATAAGGTCTTCAAGGGAATACAAACAGACATTTTGTGAAATACGCTCATACATTTACAAGGAGTTACATGAATCTGGTACCACTTTCATGACCACATTGTAAATATGTAACTAGAATCAAAGAAACAATGAGTGACATCTTCATGAGCTCTGTCCAAAGGTAAAAAAGTTAACAAGTAGAACTAGCAAAAAAAACAGTATAAAACCTGAAATGTGGCATGACATATAATTTTGATTTGATGTGTAACAGGTTGTTTGACTGTCCAAACTAATCAAGCGCTTGACACTCTTAATGTGCTTGCTGACAGGACATAATTAGTTCACAGTGATATAAAACACAATATGAGAGGTTCAGTAGCACCTCTCAATCTTTTTTCTAAATAGGTGCACTTACAACAAGTGTTCAACTGTTGCCAAAAATGGCCAACACATTGATATAATATTAAAGTGTGTTAACGTCCATTTTTTGGTAAATGCCGTGAAGTTAGCATAGTGGATGACATCAAAAGTGCTCACCTGCAAGCAGGTTTGCCTTCATCCACGACACAGACACCGCCATTCTGGCATTGCACATTGTAGCAAACTTCAGAAGGTGTGATGGTGACAGGCTGTGAAGTTGTAGGAGGCAGGGGCTGGCTCACAGTTAAATGGGACACATCTGAAGAAGAGGAGCAAAAGAGACAGCAGGTTAAAGAAACCCACGTGAAAGAGCTAATTGTTTGGATTACCTGCTGTGACCTGACCTGAGGGTTAATAAATCCTAGATGTGATCATGTATGCTGAATTACATAGTCCTACTTGTGCTGCTTGCCGAATTAGCATTACAGAATATGTTCGGATTTACAAAAAATGGTACATTTACAAAATTAAAATGCATCTTGTATATCTGGTGCTTTTACCCTCCATGGTGAGGAGGAAGATGGCATCTCCTCCCTTTATAAAATCTCTGCTTTTAGCTCTGAGGTGGGTGAGATACACTGCAGTTCCTGAGCCTAGCCCTCGGAAATACTTTGATCCGTCTGTATCTGTGACCTCAACGCCGACCTTACGAGGATCATCCCAGAAAAATTCATCAGAGCCTGTTAAAAAGAATATTAAAAGAGTGCAAAAACTGTAATACAGCAAAAAGCCATGATTTCATGATTTGTTTGTAATTTGCAAACAATTTCTGTGACTCTTTTTGAAAAAGGTTAAAATGACTGTACCTGCTACCTTCATGTTGGGGTCAGTGGTGATGCTGCGCTGGTTGGACATGCGCTTTTGAATGTTTGGGTGCTGGTCCATTAGCATCATGGTTATCTGTTTCCAAGGACATGGCCATATCTGTTCTGTGTCCCCTTCACGGGCCACCAGATGAGCATAGGCTGACAACTGCCCCTGGTAGCCCTCTCTACCGCTGGGGTAAAGCATCATTTGGAAGGTATAACCCTCTTTAGAGGTGAGTAGGGGGCTAAATATAGGTGTGTTTATTGGGGTGTTTTCCATAACATGACTGAAGTTTTTAACTCTCCAAATAAACTCTGGGCAGGTGGTCTCTGAAACGTTGATGTCATCCAAAGACTGTCCACCTGATGGGGGCCCAGCTTCCACTTTGGTCCCTTCAAAGACTACGCGGAATTTCATTTTAGCATCTAGACTGACGTGGTGCAGTTGCCAAAGCTCCTGAGGGGACCCTGTTATGGCACATGAGGTAAATGCACTGAATGTATTAAAAAGCAAGTGTACAAACCTTATATTTCAAGCAATATTCTGACAGTAGATTGTGAACAGAAGTAAGATTTCCAAAAATGTCACCTTCTATGGTCTTTATAAGGCGCAGACTTCCATTGGGGTTAGCTTTGTCATACTCTCTGACATAGACCTTCAGTGTGTCACTGGGCCCAGCACTGTTGTAATAGAAGAACTGCAGACATTGGTAGCCTCTTTTGGGGTAAAGCAATCTACTTTCCAGCAGAGCTTTGTCCCCAGTATTGGCTCTGCCGGTGCTGAAGTGCATAAAATACCCAGAGCCTAAAGATATAAGTTTCACTTCATTAATAGGTTCGGTATCTAAGCATGTTTGCACAGTGGATAATAAGACATAAGAGTACTCAAGCCAATCCAAAGCTACAGTGGCTTGCAAAAGTATTCGGCTCCCTTGAACTTTCCCACATTTTGTCACATTACAGTCACAAACATGAATCAATTTTATTGGAATTCCACGTGAAAGACCAATACAAAGTGGTGTACACGTGAGAAGTGGAACAAAAATCATAGATGATTCCAAACATTTTTTACAAATAAATAACTGAAAAGTGGGGTGTGCATAATTATTCAGCCCGCTTTGGTCTGAGTGCATTCAGTTGCCCATAGACATTGCCTGATGAGTGCTAATGACTAAATAGAGTGCACCTGTGTGTAATCTAATGTCAGTACAAATACAGCTGCTCTGTGACGGCCTCAGAGGTTGTCTAAGAGAATATTGGGAGCAACAACACCATGAAGTCCATGAAGGCCAAAAAGTTCAATTTTGGCCTCATCTGACCAGAGCACCTTCTTCCACATATTCCACAATCTTGGAAGAAAACCTCTTGGAGTGGGGGCAGGGGTTCACCTTCCAGCAGGACAGCGACCCTAAACATAAAGCCAGGGCAACAATGGAATGGTTTAAAACAAAACATATCCATGTGTTAGAATGGCCCAGTCAAAGTCCAGATCTAAATCCAATCGAGAATCTGTGGCAAGATCTGAAAACTGCTGTTCACAAACGCTGTTCGTCTAATCTGACTGAGCTGGAGCTGTTTTGCAAAGAAGAATGGGCAAGAATTTCAGTCTAGATGTGCAAAGCTGGTAGAGACATACCCTAAAAGACTGGCAGCTGTAATTGCAGCAAAAGGTGGTTCTACAAAGTATTGACTCAGGGGGCTGAATAATTACGCACACCCCACTTTGCAGTTATTTATTTGTAAAAAAAAAAAATGTTTGGAATCATGTATGATTTTCGTTCCACTTCTCACGTGTACACCACTTTGTATTGGTCTTTCATGTGGAATTCCAATAAAATTGATTCATGTTTGTGGCTGTAATGTGACAAAATGTGGGAAAGTTCAAGGGGGCTGAATACTTTTGCAAGCCACTGTAAAACTCAAACTCAAACTAGTTTCACATTTTACAAGTCTGTCATAAAAAAAATGTTTAGTGTGATCTCATAAACAAGAGACCACACTAAATATGTTCCTATGAAGATATTTTTTCAAATGTTCTATGCAGAGGATATTTTGGTACACTAAGAAGTATCTGAACATTGTTTTAAGAAAGAATTGTAAAAATATGAACCTATCCTTTCATACATTTCATAGTAGATTGTTCTCACCAGTGCATTTGCCCAAGTTGGAGTAATCAGTGTCAGGCCCTCCAGTAGCTGTTGTAACCCTGTCCCAATCTGCCTGATCCCCTTGTCCCTGTATCATACCACAGATGTTTTCACGTTCAAAGTCGCACGAGTCCAGAAAGGTGGAACCTTGAGCTGCAGAGCAGATTTCATAAACGCACATAAACAAGTGTTGCAGCACTTTGAACCACAATAAACTAGAAAAAAATCAAGGGACAAGCCATGTCATGAACATCATTATTGATGAATGTAACAAAACATGAAGTTGAACAGATCAGTACTGCAGGTACAGGACAAGTTGACTTTTATATTGGAGAAAATAAAATAATACTTGTGCACTGACTGCTGAGTCTTACTGCAGTTATAGAGGCGGTTCAGCTTGAGCAGGTCACTGTCGCTGAACTCCATACGCTGGCCAATGATGTCACTGAAAGCAGGGATCTTGGTGACAATGGTGGGCTCCGTGCCGTTCTGAAAAGCAGTTTTACTGTAGTGCATCATGGAGCTGTAGTCGTAGGGGACGCCCAAAGAGCTGGAGGTGGTGTCATCATAGGTGTTAAAATTGTGTCCTTTACCTGCAAATTGGACATACATAAAGGCTCCATTGTAGTTTCATCCATTGTGACATTGCATTACTTATTATTGTATCATCCATATGACTTGGATCATAAATGCTGCTTGTCAACAGGTGTCAGAGACTGCCGACTTATAAAAGTACTCATATAACAATACTTGGGTAGACAGGTACGTCATGAAGAAATCACCACATAAAGAGATAAAACTTTATGAGAGGATGAACAGCCAGTGTTTAAACACTGTAGTTTGGTTGGATGAATAACAGTAACAATACCCTCTGTAATGCGGTCCCACATGATTTCGACATAATCATCACGGTCTGCCCTGGACTGCTCGTGCCAGAAACCCAACGCATGAAGGAACTCATGTTCAATGGTGGCAATGTGATCACAGTTTGTTCCTATAGACAGTCTCTGCTTCCCAACATGCCGGTTGCCAACAGAGGAGAAACAGCTTATGGAAAGAAAATGAGGCTTTTGTGAAGATCAGATAAACTCCCAGGGTCTTCTCTCCAATACTTTTCTGTATAAAAGTATAGAATAAATACACTCACTGGCCTCTCTGTTAGGTACAGCTAATCATCTGCTTCTTAATGCAAATATCTAATCAGCCAATCAAATGGTATCAACTAAGTGCAGTTATGCATGGTCAAGTCAACCAGCTGAAGTTGAACTAAACATTCGGATAAGGTAGAAAGGTAATTTAAATGATTTTGAGTGTCCTGTGGTGGTTGGTGCCGGATGGGCTGGTATGAGTGTTCCAGAAACTGCTGATCTACTGGGATTTTCCCACACAACCATCTCTAGAGTTTAGAGAGAAGTATCCAAAAAAGAGAAATACCCAGTGATTGGCAAAAATGCCTCCATGATGTCAGAGGTCAGAGGAGAATGGCCCGACCTGTTCGACTTGAGAGAAAGGCAACGGTCACTCAATTAAACAATCAAATTATCTCTGAATTGACAACATGTTGAACTTTTAAGCAGATGAGCTACAGCAGTAGCACACCGAGTACCGCTGCTGTCAGCAGAGAACATGAAAATAGAAAAAACTATGCAAAACATTGGCTGGTATGATGAGTCTTGATTTCTGATATTGCACTTAGAAAGCCAGGAATATTTCTAGAACCTTATTGAATCTATGCAATAAAGAATCAAGGCATTACTGAAGGGCAAAGGGGAACCAACATAGTACAAGCAACCTAAACTTAATAGAGTGTCCAGTGAGTGTATATAATCCATCTAAAAAGAGATTTTAGAAGAATACGTTCTTCTTGCCTTACCCATCCCCTTTAAAGACAGAAATGTAGTTTGCTTCTCCGCTCCATGGCTTAAAGTCGATGCAGGTCTTGAGCCGGTACTGCTCAAAGGCCTTGAGAATCACACCTTTTGCATTGATCTCTGTGTACAAAATGAAAAATCAGTTTTATTATAGTCGAAAAAAGTTCTTTATGGTACCTTTTTTTAAGGACAACTGTAAGCCCCTGCTGAGTTATGATTACAGATGACACCCATACCCATATATTTTTGTGAAAGCACAAAAATATTGATAATAAAATGTGTTTAAATATCCAATTTATGACATTTGTTTTTTTGTCTAAATTTTATCATTAATATTGTTTCCAAAAGCCATTATTAACATTGCATTTAGCATCATTGGCTTGTTAAGTAATACAATAATACATAATCTGAAATTATGTTTTTTTTCAAGTGCTTGAAAACAAATAACAGGAACAAGATTCATTTTAAAATTAAAATAAAAACATTAAATACTTGTAAACACAGAGATAATAAAAATAATGCACATTTTCTCATTTATTTTGCTTCATTTATGCCACATGACTGTATATGCAAATATACTGTATATATATATATATATATATATATACTGTAGAGGCTTAAGTATGAAGCTAAATAATTTCAAATTGTAAAAAAAACCCCAAACAAACAAGAAAAAAAACAAACTCGCTTTTACCCAAGTCATCTTGCATGTAGTATGGGATTGTCTTTGGCCACCTGTACTCTTCCCCTATTATAGAATTTCGGGGTTGCTTCTGCCACAGCCACAAAGAACAAACCACAAACAAAAGAACAAAATATTGAGCCATTGTTGAACTTTAATCCAATCCATTCATTTGTGTTGTTGGGGAAAGAAGTTCAATTAAGTTACCTCATCAAGAACCATGTCCCCTTCTGCAAGGTTCAACCCTGCCTCTGATCAGATTAAAGCACAAAGAAAGTTTAAGAGAAGTGAATTTGGAATTTGCAAGAAAAAGAGAACATTTTCTTCTGGGGTTTTTTTTTTTCTGTTTCTTTTCTAAAATACCTTCATTGATATCAAAAATGTCAAGGTCCCGTCCACCGTCCACATCATAGACTGTAAAAACAAAGTAGTCATTTAACATGAAAATTAGTAAAAAAGTAACAAAAACAGTTAAAGTAGCCTTTGCTTGTTTGAGAAAAAAAACTTACCTAATAATTTTGCTGCTGGCTAAATATTAAAATAAATGAAAAAAGAATAATGGTTATTGATTTTCAAGTGTATAAAAGTCAACTTTTAAGTTCTCGTAAGACCACTTCTGATAATAAAAACAATTTCTCACCAAGCAGAGTGTGGTACCACAAAGGAGGCATGCAGTGTAAAGGATGAGCACACCTGTAGGTTCCCTTCCTGCCATGCCATAGAATCTCCCTCTACAAGAGTGTCCAAGTAAGACGTACTGAGCCAACGGGCATTCAGGAAGAAGAAATCAGAAAAGTGCATTTGGGGTGGAGAAATAAAATGTGTTCACAAGTCAATAACTGACAGAGCTATAATGGGCTCAAGTTAAACTACAACTTCAATCCACTCTGGTATCAGCCAATAAATCTTTGCACATTTGCGAGCAGCAGGCCTGATATAAGACATGTTGAAATGTATAGCAACCACCTGATCTATGTGTACATTTCTGTTTGCAGGACATGTACTGTTATTATCGATTTCTATCTACACTGCATTAAAGTCAGCAACACTGTGGAGTGCTGCTGACTTCAACTGAGGATATTGTTGGGTGATAGAAGGAATACTTTGAAGATCTCCTTAATTCCACTGACACGTCTTCTATACAGGAAGACGTGCCAGGGGGAAGACAAGTGTTCTGACTCATGCATTACAGAGGGCAAGGTCACAGCGCAGTTAAGCAACTCCTACATACATACAGGATACAGGAGGAACAATGCAGCTTTCGTCCCGGTTGTGGAACACTGGACCAGCTCTTTACCCTCTCGAAAATATTTGTGGATGCATGGGAGTTCACCCAACCACTCTACTTGTGTTTTGTGGACTTAGAGAATGCATTCAACTGTGTCCCTAAGAGTATTCTGTGGGAGCTGCTCTGGACTGTTGTTACGAGCCATTTGGTCCTTATACAATTGTTGCAAGAGCTTGATCCACATAGCTGGCAATAAGTCGGACTCATTCCCCCTTGGGTGATGGACTTTGCCAAGGCTGCCCTTTGCCACCGTTTCTGTTCAGTTGCAAAATGTTTCCACTTGGGTGGTCTCAGGACATCGTCTCTGCTTTTTGCAGATGATGTGGTTCTGTTTGCTTCACTGGGTGGTGGCCTCCAGCTTGCACGTGAGCGGTTTGCAGCCAAGTGCATTAGCACTTCCAAGTCTGGGGCCAGTTGGTCCTCAGCTGGAAAAGGGTGGAGTGCCCACTATGTGTCAGGAAGAAGGTATTGCCCCGAGTTGAGGAGTTTAAGTATCTCAGGGTCTTGTTCACCAGTGAAGGAAGAGAGGACCAAGAGATCCACAGACGGATTGATGTTGCAGCTGCAGAGATATGGACGTTGTCCCTGTCTGTTGTGGTGAAGAGAGTATTGAGTGTAAAAGCGAAGCTTTCGATTTAGCGGTCAATCTAAGTCCTTACCCTTACCTATGGTCATGAGCTCTAGTTAGTGACCAAAAGAATGAGATTGTGGATACAAGCTCAGAAATGAGCTTTCTGCGAAGGGTGGCTGGCCTGTTCCCCCAGACAAACTGGAGGAGGTGGCTGGGGAGACAGAGGACTGGGCTTCACTGCTTGGGCTGCGGCCCCCGCGAACTGGCCCCTGATAAGTGGAAAATGGATGGGTGATAAATTGATGAATAAAATACACACACATATGCATACACATGCACATACGCACACCCACAAACATAAGAAAACAAAGGGAAAAAAAACATTTATTTCTAACATGCTTTGCCATTAAAAAGTTTGAGCTTTGTGATAAAAGATTTCTAGTTCTAAACATATACTTGTACACTCAATGCTTAATAGTCTTGAGGTTCTTATTGTCACTGAGAATAGCAATGTAGAACTGCAGGCTCTTGTTCTAGTAAACTTTCAGAGAAACACAAAGACTCTACATCAGAACAGTACAGCAACAGTACTTTTAAAGAAAAACACTGAAAACTACATCTTACAAACACAGCAGTTAAGGACAAACCACAGCTTGGTTGCCATAATGATTACAGTACAGCTGTCTTTAAAGCTTAACATTGTGTAATGAATCAACTTAACATTAACAGTCTGTTGATTCATTACACAATCTGGTCACCCAATTTTGATGTTATCAGTCCATTGAATGGGTGTTGTTAACAGTAATTAGCCCCATAGATATAAACCAATATGGACTGTCTACACCTAATACGTGTTATCATCCACTGAATGAACTGAAGCAAGTGTTTTGGTTCAAAACTATAATTAGTCTAAGAAACCACTCCCTTTAAGCTGATACATCATATATATATTCATTCTTAGGTGTGGTGGCAAAATCTAAACCCTTATTATGGAATGGGTACACACTGGTTAGATCAATTCAAACAACAGTAACCTCCATAATTTGTCCACTGTTCAACAATAAATAAGCATTCGTTCATACTCTACACAATTTTTCCTATTCTTAGTCAAGGAAAACCCAACTACAGTGTGTATCAGTGACAGCTGACATGCTCTGCAGATCATCAGCTTATCTCAAGACTAAACAGACAAACATTTGCAAGCGCTGAAAGTTTCCCATTCGCTAGAATGGAAACTGGACCAGCCTAAAGAAAACCCGCAAAGACCCAGTAAGAACAGGCAAGCTATTGTCATGTCATGATCAAAGTCTGCAGCTTTTGCTGTGAAGAAACAAGATGCATGAAACCTCACGTAACCGTCTGCAACCAGTGATAAGCCCACTCTTTCATATTCAGCGAGCTGTGTTTTCTGCACCAGATCAAACTGTTTAATCATGAATAGTTTTCACTTTCCCTTTTAAAATATGGAAATTATAGTGATAAATGCAAACACTGGTAACATTTAAAGCAGTAATGTGCAACTTTGAAAATAACCGTCACAAATGCTGTCCTTTTTTCTTCTTCTCCCTTTCTAATAGCTGCTGTAATACTTTTGTATATGTTTAGTTAAATTCTTAAAATATGGGACTGAAACCCGGTATTGCCACATCATTAGTTGTACAGTCACATTAACCTATTATACAATCATTTTGTGCTGCATTGTTATCAGAAAGCATAAAGATCTCACTTCTTTTGCAAAATTACTTTTCCAGACCACTAAAAATGAATGCTATTGCCACAGTTATTGTAACAGTTGTGAAAATGGCAGAAATCATTAATTTCATCACCTTTAAATGGAATATTTACAAATGTATGTGCAGGTCAAACTGCAAGATTGCTTTATTTTGTTCAATCAAGGATGCAAGTTGTACTAGAGGACTCGGGTGTTTTACTTGCACCGTCCTGCAGATGGCAATATAGCAAGCTAAAGACCCCTTGCTCTGATCACCGTGGTTCCTTGCATTAAGAAAACATGCTTTGGCAATTTCCAAATGAAAGTTTTTCTTTACCACTTTTGAGGAAAAAAAAAAATTGCTGTACGGACATACACATTCATGTGTCCTTGATAAGGGTCGTTTCTTTTCGAGTGCATTTCACTGTCCTTGATTGCAGTGGAACTAGGCCAAGCAAGACCAAGCAATCACCAAGCTGTCACACTCATGCAGCCTTTGTGTGCTTTGGTAGTTTTCAGCTATGGTGATTACATATTGATATTTCTTGGCTGCTGCTTTATATTACTTAAAAGAGGAGTTTGTGGGTTAGATAGAACTAATGGAGCTGAACTGATGCACCTCCGACTCTGGCCATATTTGTCTTGTGACTTACAGGCAGCAAAGAGGTAATATTTTATATGCAAAAAATATTCCCGGATGCAGAAAATTAACAATAATAACACAGAAGTCTGCAGCGCTGTCATTTCCCACAGAAGATTTTAGCACTGTATTACATCTCAGAAAATGCCTAATTTGTGACATTAAGACAATAGATGATGGTAGGTGGACAACTTCTTGGTTGTGTGGAAAAGGCTCATGTGTATCCACTCATGTGGGAGGTATCTGCACAGCACTGTTAAAAAAAGTTTACTGTATGAGTTGTCTTTTGTGGTAAATTCTTGTCTGTCATAAAGAAGATTCTATGTTTATAAATTTGAATGGAGTTAAGCTTTCTGCCCATACATAATGCATCTGTAAAGCTTGAATAGAATCTATATTTGCTGCATATACACTCACCAACTACTTTATTTGGTGCACCTGTTTAGCTGTTCATTAACAAATATATAATCAGGTGGCAGTGTGCATTTAGATGTGTATAGACATGACCAAAACAACCTGCTGAAGTTCAAACCCAGTGTCAGAATGAGGAAGATAAGTGACTTAAATTATTTTGAATGCGTCATAGTTATTTTTGTCAGATGGGCTGCTCTGACTGTTTTGGAAACTGCTGATCTGCTGAGATTTTTCCGCACAACCGTCACTGGTGTTTACAAAGAAACTTCAAAATGCCTCAGGTCAAAGATAAATGGGTAAATGGCTTTGATCAGAGGAACGGCAACAGTAATTCATATAACCACTTGTTACAAGGTATGCAGAAGAGCATCTCTGAATACACAGTGCATCAAAGCTTGGAGCAGATGGGCAACAGCAGCCACTCCTTTCAGGTAAGAACAGGAAACTGAAGCTATAATCACACGGCTCACTAAAACTGGACAATAAAAGATTGGAAAAACAAATAAAATATCCATGTGGTGTGACATCTCAAATGTTGTTTAACTATGAAAAAATATCATTTTGAGTCACACAGCATCATTATCAAAATGTCCTAATATATTCTACCCAGTCCTCTGCAGTCAGTGAATGTGGATGCAGAGTATGGCTTTATGTGATCAGGTAAAGTTTGTGTTAAGTGGTTCTTTTGTAATCTTTCTGTACCACTTTGATGTCCATGTTGGCATGTTTTATCCCATCATGGACATTAATTTCTCCCTACCCTCAGTGGCCATCTCAATTAATTCTTTTAGAACACAGTTATACCTTGAATGGAGCTTTCATCTCCAGCTTGTGTGTGTGTGTGTGTGTGTGTGTGTGAGAGAGAGAGAGAGAGAGAGAGAATTCATGTGAGAAAATAGAAAAGCTAGTGGCACCCAAGGCAACATTTTCACTGAGTGTAATTCTTTTGAGGATAATTTATTCCTGCCTTTAAGATGTGGAAAAAAATGTTTCCCTTTCTGGGGGGCATGCGATATTGATTTCTAATTAAAAGCAGCATACTATTGC